TGCGCACTACTCACTACCCACAATTAATTCACTACCCGCTACTTACTACTCACTTCTCACTACTCACGACTCACTACTCACTGCCCACGACTCACTACCCACGACTCACTACCCACGACGCACTACTCACCACTCCATACTCACTAAACCCTACTCGATACAAACTTCTCACTAATCACTACCCACTACTCAAGACTCACTACTCACTAAACACAACTCACTACCCACTACTCAGTAATCACAAATCACTACTCGCCACCCACTAACCAGTATCCACTACTTACTACTCACACTTCACTACTCACCACCCACTGCCCACAACTCACTACTCACTATCCACTGCTCGGTGCTCGCTACCCCCTACTCCCTGCACAGTACTCACTACTCACTGCTCACTACTCGCTACTCCCTACGCCCTACTCGCTACCCAAGAGTTACTATCCACTACCCACTACTCAATATTCACAACGCTCCCACTACTCACTACTCACTACTCCGTACTCCCCACTCAGTACTCCCAACTCACTACTCCCTACTCACTACCCAGTACTCAATACTCACTACTCACTAAACACCACGCACTGCCCACTACTCACTACTCACTAAACACTACTCCCTACCCAGTAACCACTATCCACTACTTACTACTGAAAACTGAGAATTCACTACTCACCACGCACTGCCCGCAAGTCACTACTCACTATCCGCTACTCGCTCCCCGTACCACAGATTCACCACCCATTACGCACTACTCGCTACTCACCACGCACTATTCCTACTCCCTACCCACTAGTCACTAGTCGCATGTCGCTACTCACTACTCACTACTCACTACCCACGACTCACTACTCACTACCCGCAAATTTCTACTCGCTACTCCCTACTCACTACCCACTACTCAATACCCACTTCTCGCTTCTCACTACGCACTACTCACTACTCCCTACTCCCTACTCCCTACTCACAATTCACTAATCACTACTCACTACTCACTACTCGCTACTCCCTACTCGCTACGCGCTACTCCCTACTCACTACTGACTCCTGACTACTCCCTTCTCACTACTCACTACTCGCCCTACTCGCTACTCACTACTCACTACTCGCTACTCGCTGCTCGCTACTCGCTACTCACCACTCACTACTCTCTACTCACTGCGCACTACTCACTACTCACTACTCACTCCTCGCTATTCGCTACTGTCTACTCCTTCACCCCTACTCCTTGCGTACTACTCACTACCCACTACTCACTACACACTACTCACTCCTCACAACTCACAATTCCTGACTCGTCACTTCCTTCCCACTACTCACTACCCACTACTCACTACTCACTACTCACTAGTCTCTCTGCGCTACTCACTACGACCACTACCCATTAACCACTACTCACTACTCACCACCCACGACTCACTGCGCACTAGTCACCATCAAATACCCACTACTCACCAATTGCTAATCAAAACGCTTTATTGTCTACTCCCTACCCGAAGGGCCTCCTCCCCAGCCCCCTATTCGGCGCAAAAGGGGGGAGGGGGGGAGGGGGTCGAACCCCCCCCCCCCCTTTCCAGCGCCAAGAAAGGAAGAGGGGGAGGGGGGGTCCGGACCCCTCCCCCCCCTTCAAGGGGAGGGGTCGGACCCCACCCCCTTAAGGGAGGGAGGGGGGGGGGGGGGTCGAAAATCTCACCCCCCCTTTGAAGGGGGGGAGGGGCGGGGGCTCTGCGAGCACACCCCCCTTTTTGTGTATTCAGAACCATCCACTGGCGCGCTTTCAATTTTTAGTATCTCAGGTTCGACAAAGACGAAGGAAGCCTCAGGGCCTATGGGAGTCTTGAATGAAAGCGGAGGAGGTATCGAGCAGGAGCGTCGTTGTTTGCATTGGGGCGCCACTTGCGGCGCCGAGGCGGAAGCGCCGGTCCTGAGTAAAAAATGTGGAAATACCGAGCACGAACGCCTGTTTTGCTGGGAAGCCTGATGTCGGCGGCGAGCAAGCGCTCCACTCCGGAGTAGAAAAGGAGGAAGTATCGAGTGGGAACGTTGTTGTTGCTTGGGGGGGCGCTTCGGCGGTCCCCCGAAACAACCTGACGTTCAAAGGAAATGTAGCCGCCGACGAGGCGCGAGGGCGCCAGGGCGGATGTAGGGTGCCTGACAAGAACAAATGAGAAGTAACTGATAATGAACTACAACAGCAACGCAACAACAATCCAGACCGCGGAACCCCACTTCAGCCACGCACCCAGGGACGGTGAATGACCGTTCGGCCTCGCCCTGTCGTGCACAAGCGGCTCACACGGTGAGCCCCTTGATAGACGTTGGAGGGTGGGAAAGGGGGAGGATGGGGGAGGCAAGCGACGACCGCCAATTAATTGCACTTACCCCACACTCTCAGCAAACGCAATGCGTCTGAAGGCCTATACCGTGCCCTCCGTGAGCAGGTTTTCCAAATTATCCGCGCTGCCCTCGAATTGGTGGAGCGGGTCGATGCCTGGCTGCATGCCTGGCCGGGGGCTCGAGGTGGGAGGGAAGAGAAGGCTGAGGATGCCCGAGGATTACGGAACTCGCCGATGGAAAACAAAGATAGGGGCAAGGTGAGGCACCCAACAGAGTGAGCTCGGACAGAGCGCGTCTGTGCACAGAAGAGCTGCTGCCCGACCTGCGAAAAACAGACACGGTACGGGCGAGGCATGCAATGTGTGCATTGGTGGGGCCTTGCCACATGCCCAATCAATTTCATTCAAAGAAGGATGCGATGGGTGCGATACACGTTGGGCGGCCCCTTCACATCTTCAACTAACTGAAAACATTTTAGGGGGGAAGACGCGACGCATTTCACCACTGTCAAGCGTGACGTTGGAGAAACCACGCCTGAGGATTGAAATGCTGAAATCAAGGGAGCGAGCAAGGAAAACCTAACCTTTCCGTCCCCTAAATGCTAAGTGTCCAAACAACGAGTGTCGGCATGCTTGCATTCAAACTCAAACTGCAACACGAGGTTCCCAACACAACGCTTCGCAAGTGCATGCAAGATTATGCGATGCTGGAACACCTGCGCATTGCAGGACAAGGATCTCACGGGTGGCAGTGGCTTCATAATCCACCCATCCCAGTTCTCTCTATAGACGCATGTTGTCGGGGACGAGATGTTGCCCCAATGTTTTGTTAGTGGGTGGGATGTTGTGGATCCCCTGGAGTTCCCAAAGACCCACATATATCCGCCACCGTGCCTCCAGCAAATGTTGGGGTGCCCCAGTGCTCGTGCAGCGCTGAAACGTAATGGACTCCTAAAATTCTTACGGGTGCAGGGCCCTGGTTTTCCAAGCGCTCTCGGGCGCTACCGGCCCCGCCCAGGGTGTTTCGCGTGGGCCTCCGCGACGGTGACCGCGTCCAAAACGACCCGAAACAAACCACATGATTCGTCAGAGGCGCCCAAGTGGGTCCAACAGCGCCCCGAGACGGTCCCAGAAGGCCCCAAGACTGGCTGCGATGCCCTCCAGACGGTCCCAGACGCCTCCAGGACGCCGCAAGAGGGATCCGAGAGCACTCCCAAGAGGGCCTCGAAAGGCAACTCATTTCGGTTTTCCTTTGGTTTTTGAAAGATGTTGGCGTCCACGCCTTCTCGGCTTCCCGACGCTCCAAGACGGCCCATGCAGCCTCCAATGTTGCTCCAAAACGGCCCAAAAGGCGTCCTCAAGGGCCCCACCAAGATGGCCACAAGAGGGGGGACCCGCATGGACATTTCGAGCCTTCCGCTCCAAGATTCTCCAGAGGCCCCAAGAACCCCCCCAGGAAATCCGAAGGAGCCCCAAAAAGGCCCTCAAGACGCTCCCAAGAGGACTCCTAACTACCCCCCAGAAGCTCCCAGAAGGCCTCCGAAGAGAATATCGGGCCTCGTCGTCTTCCGCCTCCTCCTCGAATTCCCCATTTCTACTCCTCCTTCCTGCTCATCCTCTTCCTCCCCGATCCTGGACCTCTGAACCGCAGCGCAGGCACGGTGCCAGGATAGGCCGTAGGCCATGAAATATCCATGTGTAGTTTTGTGTGTATCTATATATATATATATATATATATATATACGTGTGTGTGCATGCGGAGCCAGGGCACAAACAGACTGACGTGCTCAAGCAGAGCTGAACAAACATCGCTTTACACTTAACGTTTCTTGAACCACAGCCAGGCTTGAACCTGGTCTTTCGAGGGGGAGGGCCTGGGGCAGCCGGAGCTGGAGCGACAACTCTAGCATAGCAGAAGAATGTTCGACGCACAACCGAAAACGCGAGAGTGCCGCGAGCCGGCCCGAGTGAGGGAAGACCCCCAACAAGGGTTCAAATGGCGGATCCGCCACCGCTGGGGGCCTGGACCCTTCGTGCTGCCTGACCCACCCTCAGGGCCCCAGGAAGCCCCAAGAAGAGACGGCACGCAGAAAACATCCCGGCGGCGACAGAGCGCCTCGGGAGGCTCAAGATGGCCTCAAGACGGCCCAAGAAGCCCCCCAAACGCCCCAAGCGGGTCCCAGGCGGGCCCCCGAGCGAGCCTCAAGAGGCGAGACTCATACATGTGTCTAAGGTTTGTGCACGGTTGCAGCATTACCTTTTCTGTTCTTCACAACGTTCAAGGCGGCCCAACAACGGCCCCCACTACTGCTCCAAGACGGCCCAATACACACCCAAGACGGCCCCAATGCTGTCCAAGAGGACATCAATACTGCCCAAGAGGCCGTCAAGACGGCACACGAGGGCCCCAAGAGAGCCCAAAGATGGACCCAAGAGGGGGGATATGAACGTGCAGTGGGGGCCTTTCACCCCAAGATGGCCCCCAAGACCACCAGCAGGTCACCAAGAGGTTCCTAGGATTCTCCAAGAGGCCCCAAAACATGCCTCGAGAGCACATCTCAAGGGACCCTGAGGTATATCTACGTGGCTTCTGGTCCTCAACCCAGGCACCGTCGACGACAACGACGTCAAGGGCAGCCGCGCCTTATGGACGGCACGGGGCAAGGCGACGATGAAGACAACGTCGACGAAGACGATGACAAGTTCCACAAAACTTCCGAAACCGTCCATAACCTCCCAACACCTATATGACTCAACTGGCACCCGATTGGTACCACTTGGGTGGATTTCGGTCCACCAACCACTCTCCCTTCCTATTCTACGTCCACTAATACTGAAGATTTGACCGCCACTACCACGACAGCCTCTACTACGACTGCTCTACTACCGACGAGGTTGCTTCAGTGGCACCCGACTGGCACAACCTGATTCATCAGAGTGAAGGGGCCGAACGGTCATTCACTATCCCTGGGTGCGTGGCTGAAGTGGGGCTCTGCGGAGCGGATTGTTGTTGCATTGTTGCTGCTGTTGTTGTTGCTGCTGGAATTGCTGCTGTATGGTTGTGATTGTTGTTGCTGATGTTGAGCCCTCAGATCTACGTTCATAATACTGTTGATCCCCCTCTCTGGAAAAAACTGTTCCAGGGGCTCGCACCCTGATTTTTTGTTACAATGGAAGATGAAGGGTCACTAAGCGAAACTGTTGGGCCCCGAACTACAACAACAACGGCTCCCGCCGGATGTTTCCCCGCGGTGTATTCCCAAATCGCTCTCTCGCGCGGGACTTCCTCACAATGTAACTAGGAATCGCGCTCTCGCGTGGGACTTCTTCACACTTACTTCAGGCTGCGCGCCCTCAACAACGCTCTCACTTTGGATTCCCGCGCCATTCATTTGGAAATCGAGCTGTCGCTCGAGACTTCTTCGAGATTCATGCTGGACGCACGCTTCAACAACCCGCCTGCCCCTTGTCCGTTCTTTCAATCCGTCTTATCTTCGTAGGGGCTGCAAAACATACAAGTTGCAAGTAAGACGTAAATACACGTAAACGGGGTACGATTGAAGACGAACAGGTCGGGTATCGAGTGTTTGGGATATACGTTGTGACTGACGCGCGAGCAAACAAGATCGAACATACGGTTAAGTTCAAAGAATATGTATTGTTGTTCCCCCTCCAAGAACAATTGATTTGTCAATTACAGTGCTTTCCCCCCGGGCACGCACCCTGTTCTTCCCAGGGATAAAGAGGGGGTCACCAAACTGCGTTGTTGGCCCCCGGTTGACAATCACAGCGGGTTCCGCGTTGTACTTCCGGACAATGTATGACCAAATCGCGCGTTCGCGCGGGACGTCCATACAGTGTATGCAAGAATCGCGCTCTCGTGTGGAACTTCCGCGCCATTCCTTCAGCCGCCGCGCCTTCGACACTCAGTAATCACGCTCTCACTGCAGACTTTTTTCTGGACGACTCATTTGGGAACCGCCCTGCGGCTCGAGACTTCCTCGCGGTTCATGCAGACGCACGCTTCAGCAACCCGCCTGCTCGACGTGGCCGCCTGGGCCCGCCTTCCCGACCCGCACGTTGGGGTCTACCCGCCCGATTATCCCATCTGGTTCAGCCATGTGTTTTCTGTTCCTGGCCCCCCTCCTGCTAGTCTCTCTCGTTTTCCATCCTCCTACCTCCCCCTTGTCCCTTCCTTTCATGCGTCCTTTCTTCCCGTGCCTTAGAGGCTGCGAGAAATACACGTTGTAGGTAAGCAAGATATACACGCACATGGGGGTACGATCGAAGACGAACAGGGCGGGTATCGAGGTGATGGGATGTACGTGTTCAATGGCCCGCGAACGGACAAGAGCGAATAATATCAAGCTGGTAGTTGTTGTTGGTCTCGTCGTTGTTGTTGCTGCGGTTATTGTGGTAGGTTGTGTTGTTGTTGGTTTTGTTGAGTTCTCAATTCTACAAATTACAAGAGACCCCTCCTTCGCGGCACATTGTTTGTCCTATTGAAATGCCTCTCTCAAGGCTCGCACCGTTATTGTTTGCAAAAGGCAACTGTGATATCATGACACGTGCTTTCTGTTCCTAGCCCCCCTCCTGCTAATCCCGTCCTCCATCTTCCCATTTCCCCCTTCCATCTCGTCCTCCATCTTCCCATTATCCCCCGTCCATCTTCCCATTTCCTCCTTCCCGCGGCCCATATGGAAGATATGCCCCCATGGGGTACGATCAAAGACGAAAAGGGTGGGTACCGAGGGTTTGTGATATACGTGTTGGATAACACGCGGGCAGGTAAGAGCGAACAGTCTTAAAATGAGTGCTGTTGTTGCTGCTGCTGTTGTTATTGGCTGAACCCCCCTCCCCTGGTGCCTATTTGGTTGTTCAATCCATGTGTTCCTGGGCTCGTACCCTCCTTTTTTATAAAGGAAAACCTTGAGGCTCAGAATGTATTACTGGCCCCCGGTTTACAACAACGACGGCTCCAGCCCAACCATTCGTTACCATTGGTTCCAAAATCGCGCGCTCGCGCGGACTTCCTCACGGTATCTGGAATTGTGCTCTCGCGTGGGACTTCCTCGCAATCCGAGCAGCCCTCTGGGCGTAGGTGATCTAGAAAATTGTCTCTTCCAACACCTTTCTTCCGCTTCGGGAAGGGGTTTATCATTACACC